CACAAAAACATTATACCCTGATTTCCCATTTTCAATGGGTTCAGGGTATAAAAAAAATATTTATCCAAAGAGTAGTTAAAGCATTTGTCCAGAAATGCTAAAATTAAACAATATATATTGAATGAAATAAAAGATATTTTAATAGGAATAAAGATTTTTTTTTAATATTAGAAATATAATAAAATATTTAAAAAAATATATTTATTATTTATTTATTTATGCTATTCAATTATACATATAATACTTATTTTTATTATTTATTTATTTTGATTTTAATTTGATGGCTTTTATTTTATGAAATAATTTTAGTTTCAATATAATAAATTTAATTTAATAAGAGCAAAAATAAAAAATTACCACAGTTTTTACAAATTTATACACATTTCAAGTCTATTGATTTTCTATTTATTTTTCAATTTATCTATATCAAAAATCTCGAAAATTCTTCTCTGGCTATTTACATGACTGCACATTTCTAAATATGATAGAAAGTATTTTGTTTGGATTATTTTGAATGCAAAGTTTTGTTAAACAATAATCAATAAAATGGCCCGACTAACCGGTTGTCAGCTCTAGCTGCGTTTAAATAACAATTTTTGTGGATGCTCGTTTAATTGGCTTGCTAATTAAAGAGAGCTTCTCCGTCAGGTCTTTGTCATTGATGCCTAGGCACTTGCTGCCCAAACGTAAAAACAACAATTTATTTGTATTTTTATTTAAAGTAATGATTAATGCAATCGTTAACATCTGCCACACAAATGGCAACGGGCAGCAGTTAATCAGTTGTTGCTGCACTGCCTCAACTGCGTCCAATGCTCCTCAGCTTTGTCTTCAACTTCTTCCTCTTATTCGCATGAGGTCGTTGAGGTTTCTTGTCATTTGGTTGCAGTCGCATCTCTGAGTGCTTCTCGCAAGCTTTGTTTGTTTTCTGGTTATTTATTTTGCCATTTGACATTATTGTGCAAACATTTTGTAGGCGAAGTACAAACTATTGACCAACAGCTGGTAATTGTGAATGAGACTCACATTTTCAGAGAATATTTGATAGGTGAACTATATACATATATTACTACAGTAAGAGCATTAAAAAAATAACAAATACGCAAATTAAAGAATTAGTTTATAATATAATCAAAATTATATTTTCCAATCGTCAAAATATACAAAAATCATTTCGAATAATATTTTTCAATACTAAAAAAACAAACAAAATACAATATAAAAATTGAAATTTAAATATAAGAAAATAGACTGAATAATTAAAACTTTTTAGTTTAAATTTAAATTAGAAAATATTAAATGGGAGTTTTGTCTTTGGATGAATATAAAATATTAAATATACATACGAATTTGTAATTAAAAAACGAAGCATATTTAACAAAAAATATAAATTAAATTAAAATGAAAAAAATCTTTTCCGTATGCAAAATGAAATTGAAATTGAACTATGTTAATACCGAATCAAAAATCTGAATAGTTCCATCACATTAAGTTTTCAATGTCAACATACCAATAGCTCAATGGTTTTATAAATTTATAGTGATAAAACAACATCGAAAGTATTCATAAATAAAATAAAACTAAACGAAAATAGAAATGGTAAAGCGCTTAAAATGTAAATTTAATTACATTATTATGCTGAAATTCCCCAATTTCCCTTTCTTTGTCATCAAGTTGTCTGACTGAAAG